AATAACTGCAAATTCATGTAATTGAAAAACCAGGTAATGTTCGGTTTGGCTGTGCAAAGTGTGTGTGTTTGTGATTTCCATGTGCCTCATTCAGTTTACAGCTCAGGAAGCTGGGTGCCTTCCAAGCTGGTATCAGCTGTTTTCTTCAAATGCTGATGGGAGAGATGCTGTAGCATGGATTCAGTGCTGTGAAGGTACTCAGAAAATTCCTTTGCCAAATCTGGGGACATGTTTTCTTCTGTTATAACTTCAGTATCTCCAGCTTTAAAATCTCCCATTGAATTTTCTTTTACAGTAAGTTATAGCTTTCATCTGACTGGAAATGCTACCTTTGTTTCATAAAGAATGGTCTTCTGTTTCTGAAAATCCAACCTTTGAAAAGTTCTCACTGGGTTATTACTCTCCTGACTTACTTTTCTGTCTTTCTGTGTGTTTTTTACCTATTTATCTTGTTTAGAGCTCATTTTCTACCAAACAAGTAAGCATTTCCTATTACATCCTGGCTTCAAGCTCTCATTTCCTGATATTTCTTTACAATATTTTTTTAGTGCCTTCTTTGTCCACATGGTCAGGTAACTCTGTAGTGTTCCTCACTGGATGTCTGTTTTGCTTGCTGTGTGACGTGGATCCCTGCTGGCACACACAGCACCACACATTTTATCTCTAGAGGTGGCACTTTGTACCACATCATACTTCTTGGTAAGGCACACAGGAATTTTTTTCTCTTTAATATAGCACCTCCTGAAGGATACTTTTCCCATGGTGTATAGTTTCATAAACAGATCCATAGGTACTTCTTGGTACAGTATTATTCCTAGTGTTCTCTGGGCAACCTTAATTCAAGTCATACCCACTGCAATAATGATATATGTGACTCTCCCAGTTGCAAGCTGGATGCAATTTCTGACATTAATCCTACAGTATCACCACACCATTTCTGGCACTGTTTGATCCCCAACATCTAGATGCAATAACAAATCTGTCATTGTTGAATTGGTTACAGCCATTGATCAAATTACTTGGTACAACCTGCAGGTGAGCTCTTGGTAAACATTCACGTCACCCTTTCACACACAGCAGCTTTAAACTACCTCCTTTCTGTAGAAGTCGATTATTTTCATCTACTACAACAATACAGTATGGACAGAAACATCCATTCTGATCTTAAAGGTCATAATTTATACCCTTTTGAATGACTGAGTTTGTGAATTTGGCTTGATTCTGTCAGTTACTTTGAAATATCAGAAACTGCTTGAAAGCAAAGCAATTGAATAAAGCTGAAGTCAGCCTGTTCTGTGGCAGCATTTTCAGCTTGTTCAGCAAAATGTACCTCTACTCCATCACAGCTCAAATACTTCAGTCACAAGATAATGTAACTACCATAAGCTCTCTTTAGTAATATAATTTCGTTAGGATTTTCTAGCTTTCTCCTTTCTTTCAAAACTTAGTACATCATCCATATATTTTGTGATTTTCTATTTTGTTTTTAGAAAATATCATGAAGGATGAAGAAGCTTTCTGCCTTTTAAATTTGTCTCTAGCCTTTTTTCCTTTGGTTAAAAAATTCAGGCTGTTTGAGAGCTTCATCTATTTACTAAGTCAAAAAAACAGATTGCACCCAAAAGCCATCGAGTGGCAAAATTGCCTTCTGGTGTAACTTGTTTCAAAATAAATGGAGCCATTGAAAGTCATTAAACCAGAAGGGGAAGAAAGGTGGCCTTGTTTTCTAAACTTACACACATGGAGAACTTGTTGTCACAGCATCTTACAGACAGTAATGGTAGCAGGCAACAAAATTTCAGTTTTCTTTGAAAACACTGATGGAAACAGCTCAATGCTAACAAATGTAGACACTTTAGGTTTTGGAAATTAAGTTCATTCTGCTACTGCTGCAAATGATTTGATTTTAGTACCTTAAAAATGCCACTTAGGATTCAATTCTTTTGCCAAAGCACAGGCATTTAGGGTCTTTTGAGATGGCTTCAGTAATAGCACTTGGTCTTCAGCCCAGCCCTATGCAGGTGCCATCTGTATTTTAGGGAATCTCACTTGGTGGTGGACACCTGCCTTTTGAAAAGCAAATTAAGCACTATTAAATAGCAACAATGTAGGTTTGCATGTTTACTTTCAGTCCAGCTTGAACACTTAGCTGTCTTCTGGCTGTCAGACTGTAGAGCTATGGAATGGAAGGAGGGGGAAAGGACACCTACGCCTGACCTGTTAATTAATGAGACAAGCAACTACTTTTAGTTTTACCTAAGTCTAAGGTGCCTTTATCACTGAGAAATTCAAAGAAGGACAAGTACAGAGTTAGATGGCTGGCAAGCACTTTTAATAAACTCCCAAGATCTTTCCAGGCACTCTTTGATTTCTGCTAGAGGCTAAACAACATTCATAGGTTGCATGGCTCACCTTTTTTCTCTGTAGTGACTTTGCCCAGAAGACAGAAGCAAAAAGAGCTGGGGCTGCACTGAGGCACACAGACACATCTGCAGCAACAAAGGGAACCTTTTTTGTTGAACTCAGACCACGCAGGGAGAAACCCCAACATTTCTACAGTTGTTCTGGGTGACCGAGAGACCACTGGGTAGAAGAGATGCACTTTTGAACAGCTGAGATTATCAGAGGACTGAGCATGTTCAGGACTGAGAGAAGATATTGTAAGCTCATTTCTCTGCCTCCAGTTGGAAGTGTAGGAAAATAAATAGAATCAAGAGGTAACACCATGGTGTTTCCAGGGCTCAGCAGGCTTTGCCCTCACCAAGGCTGTCTTGCACTAGTAATACTGAAGGTGAGAAACCTTGCTATCTTCTCTTTCAGTCTCACCAAGTTTACCAAAGAGCCTAGAGAGGACCTGAGCCCTAACTCAATAGGTTCTGTAAATAAAAATAAAATACGATCTGCATTTTACCAGTCTTTTGTATAGCCATAAACTTCCCCCAAGCCCTTTTCCACCTCTCTAAGTTCTTTTGAACACGTGTTCTTTTCTGACTTTTAGTTCTCAACTTGTTTCAGTGGATTATTTTAGTGAGGTGATAGCAGCAAATCTGGAACTAATTTACTTGTTTTCACACATCAGTGCTATGAAAATACCATACTCACATGAAGTCTTGGTCCACAGAGTCAGAGGGACTTTTCATACTACCTTTGAGAAGTAAGGGAATTCACTCAGTTCCTAAACTTCTCTAGGAATACTTCTTGCAACACAGCTTAGACTAATACAGCAGTCTCCATCACCTTGGTTGTCTAAAGCATGATGTTCATGAAAAGTTTGACTGTCTTACTGTTGATAGTGAAATAAAAACAATTATATATATACCACAGTGCTAACTAAGAAACCTACTGCTAAGGAATTGGCAAAATTCAGAGAAAGGTAAAACCTGAATCATCAGATTAAATGAGCATCTTCTCACAGTTTGAATATTTTGTCAGAAGTTCATAGAAAATGCATCTGAATGGATAGAAAGTGGTACTGATGAAGCAGCAGGTGTACTTCCACAGGTTCATTGCCTTTCAAGAAAATGGGCATTGCAGCATATAACACTTTGTTTCTTATAGCACTTGAATATGAAGTGATACAAGTGCTATATGATACTTGTATAACACATTGTATCATACAGCACTTTGTTCATTGGACAAAAGGCATTTGATTTTCTAGCACCATAGAAGTGTTAAGTAAATCTTTGAATACCTTAAGTCAGAATGCCATCAGATTTTAAACTATCAGGAACACAAAATGAGTCCAAAATATGCCCATGCCTGTTGTAAGAGAACTTCTCAAAATTAATTCTGAAAGGACATTTGGCACAAGCAGCATTTCTGACTTTCCTTATACATTTTCATAGTCTGTGGCATAGAGGTAAATTTCAGTTTAGCACAAAAGCATTCAGCTTCTTAGCCACCACAAATGTTAATGAGAATCTTTTGGCTAAACCTCTTCCTGCAAATTGGAAAGTTTACATTTAAAGGTCAAAAGGTTTCCATGGCATTTGAAGGCAATGAAACATATTCCCAGGGCGCTCTTTATTCTGCCACAGAAAATCAAGTTGCTGAGACTCAAAAGTCATCCCAGAAGCATTTCTTATGGTTTGTAAGGAGTAGAAATCTACACTGGTTGTTAAAATATCAGGAATCCAGCCAGATTCTCCTGCACTTTACTCCAGAAATAACCACAAAACCAAACGGAGTCTGTATAAAAATGAGTGATACAGAAGCATTTCTAAGCTTGCAAGTTTGGGTGAGGTACATGGGTGGTTTTGAACAAGTTTCTACCTGCCAAGTTTGTTTCTACTGTGAAGTAATGGCAAAACCAACAAAAAAAAAGAAGTCAAGAAACTCATTTACACTGTAATGCTGTAATGCTGTTACATACATATAAGCCAAAAAAAAAAAAAAAAAGTGGACAGCCCCTGAGTGGTTCTGAGATTTTTGGGTGGGGTTTTATGAAAATCATTCCTTAAACCTCCCAAGTAGACTGTGTGGAGAAAAGGATGACACAGAAGTCTCTCTGCTCTCAGGAGCTGAATGTGTCCTATAATTTGAATATGGCTATTTATCTGGTTCTGTAGGATTTTTGGTAATGGGCTTCAGAAGAGTTGTGAAAGACATGCCATAGTTTCCTCTTCAGAGAAACAATTACTTTATGACAGGTAGCTCACATTTCTTGCCATTTAACACACAGCAACCCTCCAAAGAAGTAGCACTCTGTCCAAAAGGATTGGAACAAGAAATGCAATAGCATCTTCTCTATTACTTTTTCACAACATTATCCCACAGAATCTGTCAGGCACAGATTTAAACCTGTTTTCTTCAGATAGCTGCAGCAGCAAATTGGTTCTGTCTTTCACAACTTTATGAAAAAGAGTTACAAAAATATAATTCTCCTAAAGGTTCCTTACCATCATCTGTATTGTATGGCCACATGCTGTATTAAAAATGCTAACGTTGCCTGAAGAAGGAAGAAAGAAAAGTAGATAATTGGATTTTCTTCTGCTTGTCAGGAACATACTACTCAACACCAGGCACTGAATGGAAGAGATACCACTGTTTGGTAAGTCATGGTAATTGAACAGCTGACCTAAAAGGGCATTTGACTGTGAACAATAGGTATCTGTTAAGGGTTATCACTGCTCCCGATTATAGTATCAAAGCCTAGAAAAAGTCACAAATGTTTAAGAGGAGCAAGCACTTTCTTCTGTTATCTGAATTTTTATTCATATAACTACACTAACCTTAGAAGAATTGCCTGTGATTTATAGTAACCAGAGATAAGAATCAAGACAAAGGTTGCTTCTTTAAGTTAGATATGTGTCCCATCTATTTCATGGGGCTATTTCAAACTAAATGTAATAAAACTGGATATGTTCTGTTTGGGCATAAATCTAGATTAAAGACAAACCAGAACGTGTTCTTGATGAAAATTGACACAAGAGAAGCTGAGCTGCATTAACTGAATATCTAAGGTAATAAATGGTGGACAATGCTGAAAATGCTCCTTCATAGGCCAGATAAATCACAAGTGTAAGAAATCTTGTTCTATCCACTAGCATTCTTATATGGATCCCTTTGTTAAAATTTGGATACTGAAAAAATTTCCTCAATAAAAGGCATAGTCCATTCTCCAACAACCTTGTACTCATGATGAGGAACTTGAAAAATAAACCTTTTTTTTTCTGTTCTTTGCATTCCGTTGATGTAAAATTAGGCAATTTTTTTATTTCTTTGTAATAGTTCCAATAGTTTCTACTGTGCCTTTTATTGAAAATTGTTTGAAATGTGCTGAAATATATTTCATATATTTTTATCCTGTACTCCTTTCTTTTCTGTGTCACTAACTCTCACCCCATTCATCCCTTTTATTTATTGCAGTTAGACTGGTGGCTTGCACAGGAAAAGAAGGAATGAAGGTGGAGGAAAATTAAAAGAATGAGAAAAGGAAAATTGAGAAGAAAGAAAAAGAAAATGCATGAGTCAGTGTTATAGTGTAAGTTAATTAGGAAAATAAAGGATCTTTTTAAATAAAGGGCCTCATCTCCTGAAAGATTTGTCAGCTGTATTTTCTGAGGTCATGTCACCCCAGTTTCTCTGTTCTGTGAGTCACTATCATAAGTATCATAACTATCAACTGCAAAAGGCAGTAAGTCCTGGGTTAGGAAAACAGAGCACACCTGTCACTGGCTAGGCTACGTGGGATGTGCTGCCATTCCTTCTGTATAGTAGAGGAAATTTATTGTACTTGAATATCTGTACAACTGTTAACAAGTAAAAGAAAAGGGGGAAACATAGTAGAGATGGCCTTTGAGTCATGGAAAAATGCATGTATTGTACTTGAATATCTGTATATAGGCTTTGCTCCAGGAGGTCCTGGTTGTCCTTGATGGGCTGCAGCTGTGATGTCCTTCATTGGGCTGCAGCTGTGACCAGTGAAGATAACTGGGATAAAAGGGGGGGCGGGTTAGCCAGTCAGGGAGAGCCTTGGAGGAGCCCTGAGCTGAGAGAGAATAACATGCAGAAGAAGGAGTCTGTGCTGTGAAGATCTGCAGCCATAAGGACACACTGACGAGGTATTGGACTTTAGAGATCCGATAACAACACTATGGGACTCCAGAAATAGAACCACAACACTTCTGGACAGCACATCCCACACCAAACCCACTACACCATGCAAGAGGGCTCCCAGTTTAAGACAATTGCCATCATAGTGATGGCTGTACTGAAGCCAGTGGCCACAAGGAAGTGTCCCAGAGCCCCTGATTGTCATCCTGAGTGGGTGGCACCATTTGCACTCAGACTTCCCAAGAGCTGAGTGCTTTTCCAAGTGATCCTCTCCTTTTCAAAGTGATCAATTACTTAGTGAAAGCCAGTGCCAAAACTGTTGCACGGAATCTGAGCTACTGCACTCTTTCCTCCCTTGTGCAGCTCCTTCCACAAATGTTATATAATAATAAAATATTAAACTGACACATAACTTTAGGCCCATTAGCATTATTCCCACAAAAATATGTGCCTGCTCTTGGTTACTTAGAAAAGATCCCATTTGAGATTGCTGTGGCTACTTAAGCTAGCTGCTTCTGACTTCCAGGGTGTGCTAGCTCTTTTTACCTAGTAGGAACTATGATTTCTCCAATTTTACTCTGAATTTGTATCTTCAGTACTACAAGTTATTTATATGACAAGCTTGCTCAAGTGAATTTGATTTGCCACTGAAGTGTTGAAAATAAACTTACAGATGTTTGGAAAATTAAACCTGACCTTTCAAACCTGTGGAACATCATACTTTATACTACAACTGCCTGCCATGTAAGCTCCAGCTACTGATGATGAGTAAGCACAGATAACATCAACTAATTTAACGCAGTGCTCCCAGAAGCATCATTGTTTCTTTATTGACATCTACTTTTATTTCAGTTGTTTTTTTCTCTATGACATATCTGCATAGACAGCTGACATATCCACATCAGCATTTGTGACAAATGGCAGTGAAGGTAAGTTGCCGTGATAGGAATGTCAAATGGCGTGGACATAGATACAGAATGTCAGCTTCCCAGTTCTGAAGTGGAGAGTCTCTATTTTAAAATAAAACTCACTCAGAATGACAAAAATTCAAAGGGATATGTTAGCTAAATGCTGTGGTTTGATTTAGTTTCTATCAAAGTCAGTGGTTTATCTTTGGATAGTTAGCCTTTTTCAGAGTGTGCTGATCTGTAGTTCCTTTGAGCATTACTGCTTGGACTTAATTGGCAATATAACTGAATGATCAGGGTTAGTGATGCCAGTGAACATTTTTTTCAGAACAACATAAAGCACTTGGATCAGTAACAGTAGAAATTACCTCATCAGTAACTCCCCAAAAAAAAAATCTTTTTTTATTATTATATAAGAGCACATATATGAGCTTTCATGCTCTACAGATCCTGTGTTTCTAATACAAAACTTCAGAGTTTGTTGCCTCTGTTTTACATGCTAGTGGAATAATGGATTCTGTATTAATCCTCTAAAAATGCATATTACAGAACCCTCCTGACAGAAACCAGAGTCAACCTTTAGCCCACTGAAGTCAGAATAGAGTCAGATTGATTTCAATGAACACTTTATTGTATCCTAAACACACATATCTCTCAGCATAGCTATGAAAGTACTTGGAAATCAATTAAACTTGTCAAGACTTGAGGAGCAACCTGGCCCTTTCCCATGATTTCTCTTTTCAGTTTATGTAGTAGTGGGAGGTCATGGGATAGACTTGACACTTGGCATTTTCTTCTTCTTCTCTGTGTCTTTGCAGAATTATGCCTGACACCCTCAGGCTGTTGCTGAGGTGTCTGCAGAGGGCAGAGCAGAAGAAATGAAAGGTGATTCTGGCAGGCAACAGACTCCTGTTAGTCTGTCAAAAGAATTTGTGCTTTAGGTATTTTTGCCACCATTCTTGTCAGCTTCAGGTTGGCATCTTTGGAGTTTACAGAAGTCCTTGTCAGAATAATACAAGCAGAATTATAGAAAGAGAAATGTAGGAGACAATGCAAAAGGAGAGACTTAAGATTAATTGCAAAACTGCACTTTTCCATTTCAATGTTTTTTCTGCTAGCTGGTCTCAAGCTGACACTTGACTCTTGTAGGTGTCCTTTAGCACAGCTAGATTACAGAAGTAGAGGGAAAGCTGAGGGAGGAGAATTTCTTGGGCATCATGAGGAGTTAGGCTCTTTCTCTGTGCAGAGAAATTAACTCTCCTTGGAAAATCTTCCTGAGAGCATACAAGCTAGTTAAGTGGTTTGGGGTTTTTTTTGGTTTTGTTTTTGGGTGGGTTTTTTTTTTATTTTTTTGGTGGGTTTTTTTTCTTTTTTAGTACTTCTAGAATTTTAGATTATATATCTATTTCATGTCCTATAATGTGCTTGAAATCCTTCTCTTTTAGAACTGTTGCAATGCTCAGTAGGCAAAGAGTAGATTATTCTAAGCTCCAGAACATTTGAAAGGGACCAACTCTAACATTCTTAATTTGTATAGGATTCTTGGGATTTTTCTCAGCACGCACTATTTCAAAGGCAGTACCTCTTGAAAAGACAAGGGCTTGATACAGCTCATAATCAAGATTCTTAACTCTCTTCTCAAGGTAAATGAGCTCTCATGCAATCAGAGGAAGATGAATGCACAGTGTAAAAGTGATTGCAGCAATGTTTCCCCAAGTTCTTCCAAAGTTTTTGTGCTAAACTAGTCAGCGAAGCTTTAAATTGGATTTACTTCAATCTTTTTCAGGCAATATTTGGAAAACTTTCTATGATTTTGATCAGTTTAGAACATGTATATCCTTTATGTGGATACATAACATAATATGTAACATTTTGTATACCCAAAGTGGCTCAAGGATACCATTCTAGACCGTGGTGCAGCCCAAGAACATTGAGGAAATAAGTTCTATGCAAGGAGATATAGTTGGGGCTTTTATGAGGACACATTTGCATTTCATCTGGAATCAAAACCTTCTGGAGGCAGAAACTCCACTCTCATTTCTTGTCAATATTGGTCAATTTGCAAACATCAGGATAGCGACATATCCGAAATACCACTGCAGGACAAGAAGAAGGAGCTATATTTAAATTCTACCTACTGGAAATGAACCACTAAACAATGTTTCTGTCTATAGTCCCATTTTGAATGCCTGTGACTTGTTGGGAAGAGAGGTGCACAAAGGCCATTAGTGGCCTCTTCTTTTGGAAAGGGCAGGAAAGATTTCATTGTATTACACAGCAAGTCATTCATGTTAAAACACTTGTCATTTCTAGGAAGGAACTTCCATATGGGAGAGTTTTCCTGGCCAAAACAGGGCTCTGGTAAACATGAGAAGGCTGCTACCAAGGTGCCTTATGATCTCTAAAAAGAAATGGAGCAGTATATTTCACCTATACATTATGGAAATAAACAGTAATATAGTGAGGAAGGATAAGGTGGCATGGGTAAGTATATAAAACAGATATGACAAAGACAATGCTAAAAGTTTTTTCAAGAGGGGTTGAGGTTTCTTTTTTAGTCAACAGCATAGTACAGTGGTGTAGTGAACAGTGGCACTCAGTGAGACAAAGTATAATTCACCAGACATTTTCAGTAAGATAACTAAACACACTTATATGACTAGTGGCAAATAATCAAGAAATTTTTATAGATTGGTCCAGGAAATCACCAAATGACATTGAACAATTAATTTAAGCTTATTAGTTCTGCTCAGATGTCCAAGAAATTAGATACCTCATGATCCTGTCATATAAGTATTTGCCTCTAGCTGAGACCAAGACCCTGAATTATTTTTCTCAAACCATGCCAATTTGATACAGCTTTTTTGGCAATTTGCTTTATCAAAAATGTAAAGATGCTAACTAGTCTCTTATTGATTCACTTCTAAGACTTGTATTTTTCCTGTTTTCAGTATTTTTCCTTCTTTTTTTTTCATCAGTCTAGTCTCTATGAAGATAGATGTTATCTGTAAGCCATGCCAGCCTACAGGCTGAAAACCTGTGTCAGAATGGGCTAAATATGCACACTATTGCAATAGGAGTTATTAAGATGCAAGCAAAACATATCTCTGTATCACTGTTCATACACAGCTGAACAGTGCCAGAATCAAAGTTATCTTGTTCCTGAGGTTAAAAAAAAAGGCAGAACTGCTCTTGATGTGTGAGGACCAGCATAGGGAACATTTGGACAATGCTGAACATGCACAAGTCCATTTTCCCATGAACACTGAGGGAGGTGGCAGATGACACCAAGAAGCCACTATGAAAGCCATAGCAACTGGGAGAGGCTTCCTGAGAAGTGGGAGAAAGAAAATGTCACTTCTGTCTTCAAGTGGAGCAAGAAGGAGGCTAATGGGAACTAAAGGGTTTTTACCATCACCTCTCACCTGGGGAAGGTGCTAGAGCAAATGAAATAATTTCCAAACATATTTGAACATGATTGGGCACAGTCAGCAGGTATTATAAAGGGGTCCTGAGCTTTCTGGTCTACCCAGTCCTGTTCTGAGCCAAGGGGCTGGGGTAGATGATATCCAAAGAT